GGCCGTCGCACTCTTCCTGCCAGGGTCCACGAGGGCCCGCTGGGAGCCCAGGCAGACATCGCGGAGCCCTCTGGAGCCCTGCGAACTTGTAGCATCGCCCCCACGAGTGGAGCAGACCAAAATTGGCGGTTTGCCTTCGGCCGCCACCTCAAACTCAAGCAGCATGTGCCCCCTGGAAGCCCAGGGTGCTTGGTCCGTGTCTGGGGCCATCGAGGCCAGCTCTGGACATAATTGCTCGCTCGGGCTGCCAGCTGATGGGGAGGGGTCTGGCGGAGGGGGACCGGCAGCAGCAGCAGCAGCCTCATCCCTCCTCTTCATCTCCTTCAGAGTCTCCTCCATCTCGGCATCACCCTCCAACGAGACCATGGTGAGACCCTGGGCTCCAAGGTTGTCAAGAACGCCCAGATCTGCGTAGTGGGCTTCTGCCCTGCTGATGAATCGGGACAGGGTTCTTGCCAAGGACAGCATGCCCTTGGACATGAGGCCAACCGACGGGTCTCTCCTCGCCAGCTTAGCTCCTTGTTTGGCCAATATGTCGGCAACCTTGTCTCTTCATGTTCAAAAAGTGTGATGCGTCCCTCACGCACATCATTCATGCTAGCGTGTGCTTCAACGTTCTTGAAGTCAATCCCTGGCGGACATCCTTCAGCGAACGTGCGCTTCCAAAGGTGGGAGCGGATTTTAGATGACCTCTTGGCGAACCCTGGGCTCCAGCAACACTTCAGCGCGCCTTTACAATCAGAGCAAACCGTCCAAATGCCCACCAGGTGCCTCAACGCCATCGGGGTCGCGAAATCTTCGCCATCTCGAGCCACCTGGTCTGGGCAAACCGCTGGGGGGACAGTTCCGATCCACCCTGCCCGGTAGCGGAGCTCTTTGTCAAATATTGCTGCACCCCAGCCCGCCACACGAAGAGACTGGAACAGCCCATCCATCCCTGACCCATCACAAAACACATGGTCATCTTTGGGTGCTCCCAACATGATGCTGGCGTCTGATGACGGCCACGATGGACTGCTGGGCGGTCTGCCCACCACCTTCCGACAGGTAAACTAAAGAACTCAGCGTGAACTGGGGTCCCCCCCCCCCAAAAAAAAACATGTTCATCTTCAAGTGCCAAAGGCGCCGCACTCCCTTCAACCTTGAGCTCCCAACTGGGGTCCCAGGCAGGTCGCGCGGAAGCCTGGCACGGATCAGGGAGGATGCCGCGTGCAGGTGTTTCTAGCATTTCCATCGCGCACGTGGCCAGCTTGCTCACAGGCTCGACCAGCACCGCGGGTAGGGCATCGCGCCTCCAACCCTGGCGCGCTGGGCATTGGGAACTGGCGGTGGAAGAGGCTCCCTGGCCCTTCCCCGGAAATAAGGCAGTGACTCGGCAGCTTGGAGCCATGCTCGTGCAGGCGGAACTGGGTCCAGTGCGAGCCTATGACCAGGCCGCGCAGGATACGTTGTTATCTCACCCCCCAAGTCCCGTCAGTCGCCACCCCCTCCTCCTGCGGTGCACGCCTCGCATGCAGCAGCTCGTTGAGCGGCGCCAGAAAAATCGCCTCGCCATCCTGTACCTTGGCCAATCTTGGCCAGGCCAGCCCTGTCAGCAAACCTCCTCGCTGCGAAGGTGGCCCTGCGGGCTGCGAAGGACGGCGAAACCACGCGGAGGTCCCATTGCTCACTTGCCGGCTCCAGCAAGGCCCACGGGTCCAACAACGGAAACCAATCCTGGCACTCGTGAGGAGAAGCGCTGCGCTTGGGCGTTCGATTTTCGCCTAAGTTGCCGCGTCTGACAGCACCCGTTGGCCCCGCTGGTGCAGCCACTCTAGTGCCGCAGGGGTCAGGCGCTGATCTTGCAGTACCTGGCAGTGCGTACGGAGAGCGTCAGACGCGACCCAGACCAGTGGGTCCCGAGACCACCCTCCTTTGGAGCACATAGAGGCTAGGTTTAAGTCGGGCCTGTCCCTCTACAGGGGGAATATTCAACAATAGTCAAACAAATAGTGTGGGGATTATTTTTTGAGCATTGTTTGGCCATTTGGGGGTACTTTTTGGAGTATTGTTCCTTTGTCGTCCAAAGTCCCCCTGTAGGAGGAGAGGCCCGACTTGAGGCCAGGTCGAGCGAGCGCCCTCTGAGCAGGCGGCCTTCCGCCCTCGAGGCCGCCGCGCGGGGCCTCTAGCGCTCGCCACCTGGGGGAGCCCCGCGCACGCTGGCCCCCCCGCCAGGGGCCCTTGGACGCCGCGCCCGCCCGAGACATCTCGCCGCGCGGAGCTCCTACCTCTTCCTCCTCCTCCTCCTCCTACGCTCCTCCTTCTCCTCCTCCTCCTCCTCCTCCTCCTCCTCCTCCTCCTCCTCCTCCTCCTCCTCCTCCTCCTCCTCCTCCTCCTCCCCCTCCCGTGTTCCTCGGGGCGCTGCTGGGGGCACCATGGGGGGGCAGCAGCACGAACGGGCCCGCGGCGCCAGCCCAGACCGGCCCCGCCGATGGGGTCGAGCTCCTGCCTCGAAACCAGCATGTTACCTACCTTCTGCTGCGCCTCGCAGAAGCGCTCGCGCTGCGTGCTGACTCGTCGACGAGGCCCACTCGCCGCACCTGGCACGGCGCCGAGCTCGGGAGCTGGCAGCTGTGCACCAGCTCGGCGGCAAGCGCCGCCGAGGATGACAATGGCCCTAGCCTGTCCTCGGCCACAGGCAAGCCCATGCGCCTGTAATCTTCAATGATGGAGCTGAAAGGCCTGGCCAGCTCTCTGCCTATGACTGCCTCGCCGCCAACTGCAAGAAGCGACGCGCCATCGACCACGCTTGTTGTCTTATGCACACATATATATATAGATAGATGTTGTGTTATATAGATGTTGTGTTATATATATTGTGTTTTATATACATATATATATAGAAGTATAAGTATGAATGCTGTGGGCGAGACCACCGCCGCCCTGCGAAGGACGCCCAGGAGTAGTAGCCTGGCCAGCGCCGTGGCACCCGAGCAGCATGCAATTACCGTGCCGTTTGGCTGGATGGTGCGGCTGACGGCGCCTTTCGGGCCGGACGAAAGGGGGGGATTGGGAAAGGGGGGGGTACGGAATTTGCTGCATGCAGCTGGTTTCGGCCCCACCGAGGGGCCCATTCCTCGATACATGGGCGCCTCCGGCGCCGGGAGGCGCCGGGAAAATCAGCCACGTGAGCTGATTCTCACCCCCCCCCTTTGCTATCCCCCCCTTTCGCCCGGCCCGAACCTTGCCACGACGCGCGCCGTGGCCTTCGATGCATACTGCAGTAGACTTTCGAGAGGGCCAGGGGAAAACAGTTGCTGGCCTGTGCCGCGCTCAGGAGTTCTTCGTACGAGATGTGTTCCTAGGAGTTCCTGAGGTCTACAAAAAGGGTGCCTGCGCTGAGGCCAGGGACCTCTCGAGCACATGCCGCCAGCGCATTACGCGCCCAAGCGCTCTTGTCACACGCCGCGCCCGAGCTCGTGCCCCAGAACATTTACTATCCACGCCCCGCTCCCATTCTGCACGCAGTCTGCAGTCTGTGGCGGGTGCGACTCCAGACTCGAGCCCACAGAGGTAGCAGGCCGATCGGCCTCACCCCTCCCGTGGGCTTGTCTAAGAAGACGACCCAGACCAGCCGCAGGGGCCCTACCGCGGGGGCCCTTTCCCACGAAGCGAGGATAGGCGCAAACGCTTCCACCAAAGGCCTGGGGAGCTGCAACAGGAGCCTAGGGCTGAATGAGTCCCAACCTAGCGCCGTGGAAGGGCTAACAGAAGCCGCAGACTCCAAGACTTGCTCCTCCGCGATTGGCGCGAGGCCCTCCGAGACTCGCCACTCCAGGGGTCCCTGCTCCGAAGCTCTGGGGGCCTTGGTCCATATTGGGGCCCAATCTGTTAGGATTCTGTCCAGGGCAGCCTGACCTACGAGGGGCCTCAAAGCCTCTTCGGGGACCGAGGTGTCCCCCTGTTCAAAAACAGGCAGCGGCGGAGGAGCGGAGCCTTTGGAGCATCTGCGAGCAACGCGACCTCCACGACCGACCGACGACTGAGCCCAAGCCTTCCATTTTTGTCGGCCTCCCCAACCTCCTGCTGGATTCTGCGATCCACTTCGCTTTGCGCTGCA